GGAGATTAATCTAAAGGAAGCTTTTGATGTGTTTGACAAGGACAACGATGGGGTTATTTCGGTGGAGGAGCTAGCTTTGGTGCTTACTTCGTTGGGGTTAAAGGAAGGGAAGAAGAGTGAAGAGTGCAGAGAGATGATTAAGAAGGTTGACATGGATGGAGATGGTATGGTGAATTTCAAGGAGTTTAAGAGAATGATGATGAAGGGAGGAAAACTTACTCTCTTTCACGCATAGTCCACTGCTACCACAGGTTCTCTCTTTTTCAATTCACACCATCCATCATTAATTAACTCCATTTTCTCTCTATATGTGGTGGCCACACAGAGATACACGAAATGAAAAATTTCTCTCATTATTAGGAATGTAGATTCTTAAACAAATTTTCATGTTTCTGTAACTTTAATGGCTATGTAGTATGTTTTTTTTTTCTTTAATCTGGGTGTGTGTGGATTTATAACTGTTCAGGGTTTTGTAGCTTTGTTCTCTTTCCTCCATGAAATTGGGAAAAGTAAATTATTGATAGAGGATGTTGTTTCTGGAGCCTCACATGCTGCATATGACCAAACATACGGTGTTAATTATGAAGGTTAATTTATTTCCACGAGGAAGGTTATTTTAAGCAAAAGCCATCGTTGTTGAATGTGAGTCCAATCAAGAAAAATCTCACTTTTTTTTAAGAGCCTGAACGATTCATGTGACATTTTCCACCAATGTCATACTTTGTAATTATCTTCACCAAATGTAGTAATTAATTGAATCTGGTAGGCTTTGTTTGCCAACTTTCAAATAGGACCACTTACTCTGAAGGATAAAATTTTCTTTTACACCCATTTACTACTCCTTATTACTCTTATCTCTTTCTTTCTCTTTAAAAATACAGAATCTTTAAAATACAAAAGTTAACCTCTTTTTTAAGACCATTTCAAATGGTAGTTAAATAGTGTAAAAATAACTTTTTTTTTCATGTATCTTTCAGTTTAAACAGTAGAAACTTAGTTGAATTTAATTAGTTGAAATTTTTCATTAAAATGCTTCCTCCTTCCTTTCCTTTGTCTTTCTTTTTATCTAAAAAATGTATGTCTCCTCACATGCAATTATATCGTAACTTTGCATATAATGCATTTTAAATAAAATTGATTTTAGTATTAAACCAGTAATAATTTTTTTTTACTTCTTCTTATAAACTACTTAAAAATATTTTAAGAGAAAATCAGTTTTAGATTCAAAATTAAAATTTTCAATATAAAACTAAAAATACGAATATTGGTTAAAATCTCATTGAACAGTTTTGATTAATTATAAAAAAGTGTATAATATACTTTAATTTTCTTTATGTTGAATGTAAAATAAATGAAAACATGAGATAACAAATTTGAAAAACGTTAGACACTGGTAAACAATGAACATTTCTTTAGGAAAGTAATTATAATCACAAAATCAAAAGCTAGTGAAATTTAAATGATTAAATCATGAAATTTTAATTCAACATCTTAAATAGCTTAATCATGACTAATCTGATTTTAAAACAGTTTAAACACGACCAAAAATATCCTTAAATTTGAGTTGATTCACGAAATATAACGAGTCCAGTATTTAATTATATATATAGATAATAAATAAATAAATGATTATGCTTTATTTTCTGAAACATATGATTCACTTAATGTGGGTGGGGTTGCTTGTTTGTTTTTCCAGCTCTTCAAAATGCGTCTAGAAAAAGCAAAAGTGTATCATGCAATAACAAAATAAAGACTGACGCTTGCATTTTACATGGTCCACTATAAATAATATTATTCTTTTCCTTTTGTAGAAACAAAATAAGACAAAAATTGCTAATTTAATTGCCCCTAATAGATAAAAATTGCACACTAAATTAAAATTACTAAGTTAATTTACGTATTGTCAAAGTGACATATAAAAAAAATTACAATGACATATTTATATGGATCTCTGTTATATATAATGTAATATATGACATACCTATTAGCATCACATTCGGACGTGTTGCCAACTTGACATGCTGCCAACCCATAGGTTGAGATAAAGACTAATTAATAGGATAACAATCATTAATAGAAAGTTAATATATAATAATTTATAAAGTTTTATATTTATGATTTAATTAGAAAAAATATTAATTTTGAAATGAAAACTTCCATAGGTTCAGTTTGAGTCTGAGATGCAATAATTTAGTTTGTGGTGGATGTCATCCACGATTTGAGTCCACTTACCTATAAACTTAGTGTATACAAAGTGATACGTCTAACACTTTATAATTTTTCCATTTCGAAAGATTGGTTCTGCTATAATTTTTCATTTATCGAGCTGATAAGATCTTTTCATCTAGAAAAGATGGCATAGCCTTAGAAGTAAAGTTAGCTGAAATGGGAGATAGGATTAAATTAATATATTTTTTTCAAGATATGTTAGATGAAAACTATAATCCATAACTTCAAGTTATTAATTTACTAGAAATGGGAAATCAATTCCCACAATTTCTAATACAAGTATTATTTATTCTTGAACTCGAAAAGGATTAATTTTACATAAATAGAAAATTAAAATAAAATTAATTAAATTTATATGTATCGCAAATTTATATATATATATATATATATATATATATATATATATATGATAAGATAATTTCATTTATCTATGTGAATAAACTCGTGTACACCTTAATAAGTAATTAGGTATAGAATTTTCGTGATAAAAATTGGTGACTTAACTCATGGGTTCTCATATTTTTGTTTTTTATATAGAAGTAATAAATAATCAAATGGTCTTAACCACCGACTTTATAAGAGGGAGGTTGTAGTTTGAGTATCTTAATCATGTTAGATTTATTGTTTTCAAAATTATTTTTTTAATACAAAGTTAGAGGTCAATATTGTTAACTATTAAAGGAATGTGGTTGTTGTATCATTTGTTTATATACAAACTAAAGTAATAGTAGTAAAACAAGATTATTCATACTACCAGAGAACATTAATAACTTTACATAGTTATTAGATATTAAAACGATATTAAAATAACTGTTTACTTTAAATATATTATTTTGTTTTTAAAATTATTGATCAAAATTCGGTTACTTACCTATATAAACACGATTTAAATAATTTAAGAAAAATATATGAATGTTGCACTTATAATATGTAAAATTGCACCATTTAATATTTTTCTAAAAAGATGTAAAATTAATTTATCAAATCCTTGAATACTTAACATTATCTTAAGAAATAGTAAGTTGAATAAAAAAAATCCCAACTATCTCAAATGCTCATTTCTTACTGAAAAAAAATTAAAACCTTATGAGCAAGGGTAGGGTAGGTTGAGACACCATATTCATTTGATATGATTTTTATAACAAGATGAGGAGAAATAATGTGTCATATGAGTATAGAAGTGTCAAATAATATTTTCTCAAAACTTATATGAGAAAAATAAGTGAGTTTGGACACATGATCTCTTTTTCTAGTTAAATACTCCTTCTACTTCTTTTAATTCAAAATAGTTTCTTCTTCTCTATGGACAATCAATCGTTTTCTTCACAATTCACCTTCCATTCATTCGTTTCTTCTAAATGTTCAAGAACTGCAACATCTCTTTCTATGTCATTTTCTTTTTCTTCATTTTCAAATCTTTTATTTGCTTCAATGTATGATCTTGCTCATGATTTTTTTGTCAGAAACAGGGATTTTGATTTCTAGAACTCCAAGAAGAAAAAAGAAACTTCTGCGCAACTTCTGACTCTAAAGCCACATGTCCCCATACAAGAAAGTGTGACTTTCTCCCATCTTAACTTGGACGGAAGCAACCTTCGTAAGAAGAATTGGATCCACATTAAAACTTAAAGTTTAGAAATTTGATTGCAAGAGGGTCTTTCTTAATGAAGAGTATTGGGTAAATTTTTTTTTCTTCTTTTTTTTTTTAAATGTTTTCTATTTTTCTTACCAAGAAATTTGTGCTATATTTATTCGAGTAAATATAACACAAGTTTCTTGGTAAGCATAAATAGAAAAGATTAAAAAAAAAGAAAAAAAAAACTTACCCAATACTTTTCATTAAGAAAAATCTATCTTGTAATGAAATTCCTAAACTCCAAGCTTTCATGTGGATTGAATTCTTTCTAAGGAGGTTGTTTTTGTCCAAGTTGAGATGACAAATAGTTTAGTGTCTAGGGACATGTGACTTTAAAATAAAAAACTGTACCGAATTTTCTTTTTTTTTCTTGGAGTTCAAGAAATCAGAATTCCTATTCCTGATAGAAAACAACAATGAACAAGATCAAGCAAATAAAATGTCTGAAAACAAAGAAAAAGTAAGTGACATGAAGAGAGATGATGCAGCTATTGGACATTTGGAAGAAAGAATGGAAGATGAATTATGAAGAAACAAAAGACAAGATTGTTTATCCGTAAAGAAGAAGAATCTGTTCTAAATTAAAAGAAGTGGAAGGAGTATTTAACCAGAAAAAGGGACAAACTCACTCATTTTTCTCATGTAAATTTTTATTTTTGAGTAAAAAGAAAGAACATTTGAAATAGTTGAGATTTTTTTTTATTCAACTGTCTTTTTCTTACCATCGGTAATTGGGTTGTTTTTTTATATCTTTGTAAACTTTTTTGAAGTGTTTTGATTTCTGTATTTTATTCTACCTGTTTATTTTATTGGATAGTTTAATATTATAATTTATAGTTAAATAATTATTTTCGATTATCAAGGTTCACATTTTTTTTCATAGTTAGAAAGGATATGAATTTGAACTTTTAAAAATTAATAATTAATATTTTGTAAAGTAACTTATATGCTTGATATTTAGGATGTTCTTCTTAATTATGACAATGTTAGCTTAATTAAAAATTAATAATTAACAAAATTTATATACCAGAATGAATATAATATAAATTTGTTAAAAAATTGCTAAATCGCAAACAAATTAAATCAGCTGTCAGGTAGGTGGTTCAAGCTTCAATTTATTAAAATCTAAATTGTAAATGGAAACAAATTGAAATACTTACCATCAGTAACATCAGTAAACAAGTGGAAACCAACAATTGTTTGAGAGTTTATATTTTGTTCAACAATTTTCAGTAGATCTCCTTTTTGTCTCTAATGTTTACCATGAGTGATTAAAAGAATACTCCTTTATTAATGTTATATATTACAGATATTTTTTCTGATAAGCGTTTTTTTATTGTAATTAGTTATTTTAACTTTAAAAAGAAGTTACTTAAATACTAAAATTATAAGAATTTGTCACGTATATTAAAAGAAAACTAATAACTCATTTACTTATTGCTTATCTAGATACTATGCCAATATAAATTATGAAATTGGATACTATGTGTTAACTATTTAAACGTCGTCAATAAAAAAGAACCAAATTGAATATAAATTACGAAATTAGGAACTATATTGAACATTTGAAAAAAACAAGTCCCACATCCAACAAAATTGACGAATATAGAGACCAAAAATGATATTAAGTACATTCAAAATAAAATTTATTCAAACTAAACAATAATCATTAAAATAAAAGTTTTGCACTCACTCCGTCCTCTCATAAGGTATAAGAGACATGGTCATGGATCTCCTTCGAACCTACCCACTTCGTGATCTATTTGAAGAACATTTTGATACTCTTCCTCTTCA